CCCCAAAACCCCAAAACCCCAAAACCCCAAAACCCCAAAACCCCAAAACCCCTAATAGATTAATTTTCATTGAACTCTGTCCAATATGATTGCTAAACTATTGGATACTATTTGATCCATTAATTATCGACCAAATTTTACATTCAACATGATTAGGATTATCTGTTATACTAAAAATTAGGGTGAAATGGACCCACAGACTTAAGCCTGAGAGTCACTATTAAGATTAGCAGAAACATCCCAAACACGAGGTATTTCTCTGTCAGAAATCCTTTCAGTATTTGGGGCTATCTCTGAAAAGACATTAAGCCTTTTAGTCTTGATGGGGTTAATCATCTGATCCTCCAATTCCGGAAAATTCTTGAGCTTAGAACGGGTCTCATATTGGAAAACAGTCTCTTTTAAAATGTCTGAGTAGCTGTAGCTATTAAGGTCTTTCTGAACGATTCAATGGATAAATTGGCACCTAGTGGCATACCTGCAGTACCCCTCCTCATGGAACTGTTTGCAAATTTTTGTTTTATACTTTTGAGGAAGGTTGTTCTTGACAAGAAGTTCGTCAAACCCATGTGCAAACGCACATGATTTCCCGAACTTTCATTTTCCGGTTGTTTCCCAATTTTTACAAATCTCGGTTTTCTTCTTAGCCCTGAAGGATTCAACAAATTTCTTCGGGCCCTTTCTTTGGCTTAATTTATTCTTTGGTTTACTAGGAAGAGACCCATGTGTAGAAGTGACAGTATCGGACTCATTCACTTGATTATCTAATTGGGTATGTGTCTCAAAACAAGCTTTAATTTTGCGGTCGTCACATTCTTGTTTAACATCCATCCTATCCAATAAGGAAGCTTCATTTGAGAACTCACTGGTAGGTGATGTTACCTTCTCAAGGGGTAAAGAGTTAGACTTAAGATAGAATGCAGCTGAGCTAAGCTTCATTGACTTAGCCTCATTCTCGCTGTCAGATCCCTCTGTACTAAAATCAGAATCACTGGTGCCTGTTCTGGTGGAGGAAGATGAGGGTGTCTCTTTTGCGTAAATTTCTCCTTCACCTACTTTCTCTTGTGATAGAGCAACTTTAGGCATCTTAAACTCTTTACTTTGTTTTGATAGTTTGGATTTTTTACTCGTAGGAGTGGTGTCCTTGGAATCAGCAGGTCCTTCTAAACTTTCAGGAGCACTCCACGTGTTCTTAAAATTAGCCAACATATTATTAAACTCTAAATGACATATTATTTATCTCTTTTTAAGGGGTTTTGGGGTTTTGGGGTTTTGGGGTTTTGGGGTTTTGGGGTTTTGGGG